CCGCTCGCTCACTCCCCCCATGGTGGGAGGGGGGAGAGAATCAGAAGGGTAAAAGTCAGAAAACTCGTGAGTTGAGATAAAGACAGTTTAATAGGTAAGGCAAAAGCAAAGCAAAACAAGGAATTCATTCACTGCTTCCCATGGGCAGGCAGGTGTTCAGCCATCTCCAGGACAGCAGGGCTCCATCACGCGCAACGGTTACTTGGGAAGACAAACGCCATCACTCCAAACGTGCCCCACTTCTTTCTTCTTCTTCCAGTTTTATATGCTGAGCATGACGTCATATGGTCTGGAATATCCCTTTGGTCAGTTGGGGTCAGCTGTCCCAGCCGTGTCCCCTCCCAACTTCTTGTGCACCCCCAGCCTGCTCGCTGGTGGGGTGGTGTGAGGAGCAGAAAAGGCCTTGACTCTGTGTAAGCACTGCTCAGCAGGAACGAAAACATCCCTGTGTTATCAACACTGTTTCCAGCACAAATCCAAACCATAGCCCCATACTAGCTACTGTGAAGAACATTAACTCTATCCCAGCCAAGACCAGCACATAGCGTTACCGATTCTGTAACGAAGACTGGACCTTTGCAACAAAATCAGCTGGTCTTCACATGTGTGTTACGCTGTGGAGAGGAGAGTCTTGAGGTCTTTCAGGGAAGATTTTTTTCATATAGAATTTCAGGGATAATGTCTTCATAAGCTCCTTTCTTTGTGTTATGATCCCATTAAGTCAACGATGACAACACTTTGATCTATGAGGAAAACAAGCTTGAGATCAAGTATCTTCAACTCCTAAAGTTTCCAGCTCTCGTTGTTGAAGCTGTTGGTAGGTTTGGAGAGACACATTAATGCTGACAAACTCCCAACTTTGTAAGCAGGGGTGATTGAGCACATTTATAATTTAACTTAGAGAAGTTATATAAGCTTATCTATGCTGTCACTTCTCAAGCTCCAAGGCTGTTGTATGTCAGCTAGTTCAGTAGGGTTAGCAGAGTAATCCAAGAATTGTTAGACAACTTTTACACAAAATGTTATATTTCAAAATGGACCCAGAAACCTTTTGTGGGTTGCTGGTCACTACAAATTATGCTCTGTGGATAAAGAGTTATTTCTTGTTCCAAATAGCTTGTTAGTCTGTTGGGCCAAAGTAGAGAAGTGGCCATCATTGAAAAAACTGCCTTCACTGCACAGGTCGGTACGGGTTGTGGTCTTCTTCACTCCCCTTACACAGCTTTTGCAAATCAACCTTGTAACTCATTTGAGACTTACCCATGTACCCACCCTGAATTTTAGTGTTCTGAGGTGGAATTGGATCCTCCCAAGTTTGGATGTTGTGAACTGAGGTGCCTGTAGACTAGAAAACTGTGACTTGCTTTAGGAGGTCAAGATCCTGACATCTGTGCAGTGACAGCAACACAAACGTTAAATTGATGTGTGTGCTGGGAATCAGCTTGCATTTCATCCCTGTCTGCAACTTGAATTGTCCAAAGTTCAGCGTATCCCACTTTTGACGTTTGTATGTAATATATATAAGCTGTTCTGTTTAGGATTCTGTGTTCAGTTATCTCCTCTCCCTCTTTTTTCCCTCTGTTCACACCAGCTTCTCTAAATATAATGGCATAAATTCAGTCACGATGTAAAGGACTCATAGCCAGAGGATAGAGGGAAAATCTTCCGGAAAGAAGATTGTGCTTGATTACAAGAACGAGACAAATGGCTTAAAGTGCTTAGATATTTCATGAAACCTTTCCTTTTGCTCTATAACTTCTACTGAAGTGAGAGTGGCAGCACTTCACTATTGTTGCTGTTGCCACTGATGGAGAATAAATAGTAGTACGGAAGTCATAATAGACTTTGGAGTTTCTATCAAATCTCTCTTTTTTTGCCACTGAAATTCTGTTCGTGGCATTGCTGGGAGGAAGGGTGTCTTGCTGAGGTTTTTGTTGGTTTTCGCAAATTTTCCTAAAGAGGGTCAGGCGCAGTCTGGCTTCTTACGACAAGCTGTTCTGCAGCTACGTTTCTGTCGTCTCGTGTTTTCCATGTATTCGAGTGAATGTATTTGCTTTGTTGTTTGTTTTGGACAGATCTTGGGTCTTTGGATTTTGGAATGTCTTTTTTTTTTTTTCTGAGTCTTGAGCAAGTTTCCATCCCAGAAACAGTGCTTATGTACTTAGGTTATTATTCTAAAAATGCTGTAAGATTAAGTGGAAATGTCAAAGTGGAGGCTAGAAGTGGCTGTTAATTTAAGAAGCTGTGTTTGGGATTGTGGTTTTCCTCCAGATAGATTATGAAGGCTAGGCACAGAAGAGGCGGTCCTTAGATTTGACCGGGAATAGCTTTTGGTGGCGGGTTGAATGTCAACCCACAGACTATCCAAAGGATATGAAGGGGGAGGGAGTTAAACATGAAATGTAAATTGCATGTAGAAAAGCCAAGAAAATGAGCGGATGGGGTGGTAGATGATTAGAGAAATACAGCTGTGGTGCTCAGTTGTGCCCATCAACACCGTGGTGTTCTGTAGTTTCGTTTTCTCCTGCAGCGCTTTACTTTTTGGCCTCCTTTTTGAGAATTGAACCTAAAGATGAGTCTTGCAGACATTTTTCTACATATCAGAAAGGACTACTTATACTTGAAAGGAAAGGTATTAATTTTTTTTTTTAACCACAGAATGCCAGAGATATTCACACCCTACCCAGCAGAATGGGTGAAAAGCCAAAAATGTATGGGTTTTTCCTTTGATATGAAAATATTTGCACAGCTCTTATAAAGATTTAGAGCTTTAGTTTCCAAGATAGCACCCCTGTTGTTAATCCCATCTGTACTCTGTGGGATATCTCTAGTGACATACCACTAACATTTGAGGTAAAAATAGGCTCTTTTGCTGAGCAACGGTAGGGAACAACAAGACTTCTGCTGTGGTTAAGGTTATCACATAGTCATATTCATTCACATGCCACTCATGCTGACCTATCTCAACTAGCAGAAAACTGAGACTAGATACAAACAGATTGGGGGAGAACATTTCTTTATGCTGTACAAAGTCAATGCTTGAATCTTCCAGGTAGATGCAATATGAAAGTGGCTTTTTATTGGGTTTTTTTAGGATTTTTAGGCTTTTTCTAGGATTTTTATTCACTAATGTGAATAAAATCTGTGATTTAAATCAGTATTAAAGTGTTGGGAGATCAGCAGCAGTTGAGAGATGCCTCTCCGGAGCACTGTGGGGTTATTTTATGCAGATTGATGGGGTGGTATTTGAAAGCATGACATTTTTCCTTTCAGTTTATGTGAGAAATGTATTGAAATTATTGATCTGGCTTTGAACACCCATTAATGTCCAGTTAGCTTTTACAAACGACTCTTGGGTTTTCTGTGTGTGTCTTGATTCCCCCTGTGCTAAGCTAACAAAACGCTAATTTCAAATAAATGTTTTGCAATATAGATGTGAAATGCTGTCCTATCTTCAGCATCTTTAACCGTCTTGCCTGGCACTCTGCTGTCATTCTCAGCTTTGCTTTCAAAGCTGTCCCTTACTTCCTTCCCACTCCCTGCCAAAAAATCCAACCAGCCTTGCTGCGGGTCACGCGTGTATTAAATATACCCCGACCCAGAAAGAGCCATTGCCTCCATAGCCCCATGGCTAGAGCAGGTGGGATTTAAAGCACACACACGCATGTGAAAAAATAACGCTTTTGCTCCATGGAGTCTTTATTTGTACGAAGTGGATCAAACCTGGGAGGAGAGCGTGAGCCAGAGCTGCCGTGCTGTGGCCAGCAGTCATTTACCTTGGGAAGTGGGATGTTATTGTTCACATCTGATTTAAACCTGCTGACTGCCACCAACACTAAGCTGTTACCTGTTTATACGTGTTTCTCTTTCATTTTCCTGTTGTAAGCTTTCTGGTCAAGATATTTTGTAAGGTAATTCCTGATTTGCCCTCTACATTAGGTACCTGAAACGTTGCGCAGAATTAGTATACACTAGGTGGGAGCAAAAGAAGAAAAACTTATTTTAGTTCGCTTGGTGGCAGCTGTGGAGCTTTGCTAAAGCAAATTGTTTATTTAATTAATTTCCCAACCTGAGACTGAAGTGCCTGTGCGCTCAGTAGGCAAATCCCTTGCACAAGATGCTGGCTCAAACCACACATGATGAGGAGAAATAGATGGTGGCAATGCAAAGCTGGCAGGGGTACAAGGCTTTATTTGGGTTACCAGCAGAGGAGCCGGGACAGTCCACCAGCAAGCAGTTGATGGGGAAGCAGCACAGCGGCCACCCTGCCAGCGGGAGGAGCTGGCTGGTTCGGTACCTGGCACATCTTGGCCCACATATGTCATAGAATCATAGAATCATTAAGGTTGGAAAAGACCTCTAAGATCATCGAGTCCAACCGTCAACCCAACACCACCATGCCCACTAAACCATGTCCCTAAGCGCCTCATCTACACATCTTTTAAATATTTCCAGGGATGGTGACTCCACCACTTCCCTGGGCAGCCTGTTCCAATGTTTAACCACTCTTTCAGTAAAGAAATTTTTCCTCACGTCCAATCTAAACCTCCCCTGGTGCAACTTGAGGCCATTTCCTCTCGTCCTATTGCTAGTGTCGATGGAACCCACTGGGGAGGACGGGGGGAGCGATGTTGAAAGTGCTGCCATTTCTGTGGGGCAGCGCCTGTCTCTAAACCTGTAAAGGATCTTGCTGATGTCGGTTGGTAATTGCACTCCTGCCCCTATTTTATGCCTGTGGTCTGTAAGTGATGGCATGCTGTGTTTAAATTGAATATATCTGTGTGCTTGTGTAGAACCTGCAGGATCCGATGTGGATGTTCCAGCCTCAGTGATTACGTAAGATTATTAAAATCATTTTACAATAGATAACAATCATTGTAGGTACGGTTAGAAGCTTTTGTTTTGAACTGCTTGTTCAAATAAAGTGTTAAAATAAAACACTTTTTTTTTTCTTTTCTGTTTTCTTCTTTTAAACAAAACCCTTATGTGCTGGTGAACAGGCATCGGAGGAAGTGTCAAAATCTCTGCAAGCAATGAAGGAAATTCTGTGTGGGACCACAGACAAAGAGCCACCTACAGAAATTGTGGCTCAGCTGGCACAAGAGCTATATAACAGTGGCCTTCTAGTGACACTTATTGCCAACCTGCAGCTGATAGATTTTGAGGTAGGTCAGCGTCCATAAACCTTTTCATCTCCTTGGTCTCAGTGTTGTCAGTGAGTAGAGCTGTATTTTTCAGAAGTCTAAATAATTTTATTGCATTCGAAACTGTTTTTCATATGCCGAAGAAAGTAGCTGCTGTAGATTGGTCAGTGTCCTGATAGACATGCTCATATACTGGAAGTAAATGCAATGCATCTGGTTTATTTTTTTTATTAAAACAAAACCAATAAAGAAATATTGCCATGTGTATCCAAACAAGGTAGGAAATGATGCTGAGAATACTGTCTATGACCGATCTTGTAAGCTGCAGTGATGAACCTCTTACTTCGGGATAGTGCAACTAGGGCCAACCGCTGACCCTGAGGAGTGTGTCCGATTTAGAAGGGGTCCAGGGACATGGAATAAAAATAATTGGAAGCATGGGAAAATCTCATGTGAAAAAGACTGAAAAAAAAATTAGGATAGTTTAGTTGAGAGTAAAGGAGTTGAAAAAGGTGTTAAAAACTGACAGCAGGTGGCAAAGTAAATTGGGTTGCCCCCACTTAATTTTTTTGATTAAAAGAAGAAAGGAATATAACTTCTTTTTGCCAGCAGAAAGATTAATATGAATATATGTGTGTGTATATATATATTCCATGGAACTCCTTGCCGGTTTTGTTGTTAAAGCCAAAAACTTAGTGGACAACTACTAAGACAACCGAACTTGCTTATAAATAAGGAGAAGAGTAGTTATGGTAGAAAAGATTACAGTAATTCAGGATAAATATAAACCCTTTTAATTGACCTTTGACTGATGGGGACTGGTAAGAAACTTCGTCACTGGCAGGTCATTATAGTATGCCTGTGGTCTACAGTCAGCAGGGACAGTGGTCCCCAGGGACTGATGTTTATGAGTCCTGCGATTTCGATGGCTCCCAGGCGCTGGTGAATCGTCACAAGTGTCCAAGCATCTCTGAGCAGTGAGAAATGCCGAGCTCCCAGGAACCAAACCTCCGCCGCTGAGGTCTGAAGCAGGAGCAGTACCCAGCGTATAGGGCAGGGCGGCCACTGAATTTAAAAGTCAGTTCCCCAGAGAGATCATCTGATGCTCTCAGAGCCACCTTTTGTGGGAGTGACTTTCTTGCAGAAGTTTTTTCCCATTATTGAAGTTATTTGTTGTTACTTTACATTTCTTTCCATTTTGTAAATGAATGAAAGGGAGGAACGATGGGAGATTTATGTTTTCTTTTTTCCCCTCTTCCCCCCACCCCCAGTGAAGCCAGGATTCAAAGCACTGACTTATTTATTTTGTATTAATTTTTAAATATGTTGTTAGTGGAGTTCTCTCACTTTTCCTCAGGTTTTCAGTTCAGGAGATTTTTTTTTTAATGCTGGAATTTATAGAGATCCTTTCATTTGTCTTCTCCCTGCCATCCCTGGTTACTGTTAAATGTCTTAATTACAAAAAAAAAAAAACCAAAACAAAAACCCCAACCCAAAACCCTAAAAATCCAGTAATTTATTTGTTTTTAAGAAAAAAGGAGAGGGGGGAGGAGAAGATACTGTTCACAAATATACCACAGAAGGTTAACTACTGCATATTTTTGGTTACCTGACAGTCTGTATTGCTTTTGTCAGACAAAAAATTCTGTATGGACATATTGAACCCACAGTCTTCAAATGCAAGCACTGAATGAAATACCTAATCTGTTGCTGAATTACTGTTATTACAAACAATTCTAATAACTCTTACAGCAAAATAGATTTTTCCATGATAAAACCTTTTCAATCATTTAGCAAAGCATGTATGTTATACATACTCTTTTGGCAAAACAGTAGAAACGAAATGTCATTGAACAAGAGGATAGTAAGAGCATGTGCTGCTTTGTCTTCATATTCCCATTGACTTTTTCAGTTTATCAACTTTTCTGCTTCCATTTTGTTGTATTGGTGGCCACAGCTGGCATTTAGGTTTCTTTGTTGAACAAGCAATTTCATCACTTTATAACATGCAAATTAATTTTTTGATCTGTATGTAATAGTAGAAAGCAAAATCATAAATTGCTTGAAAATCTGATTTCTGAAGGGAATAATGTTTATGTAGGTTGCTTTGTTTTTTCCTGACTCCCTGTCTCCTCCTCACCAACCCTGCTGCCCGCTTTGATCCCAGTTTTGCACAGCTGTACTTCCCTTTGAAGACGTGTTTTCAAAAACATCATGAAACTTGATGGCTGTTTAGAGGAGCGAGACCAGAGTTAATGCCCCCACCGAGAAAAAGGCAGCAGCACAGACTCGAGTCCTGTCTCACTTGTGTTTCATCTGCCAGTACACTTACAGCACGTGTGGCTGGGGGCGGGTGTGCGTGTAGGGGAGACTTGCACACATCCATCACACATCTATAGAAAACACAGGTTTATTGCTTCCGCCACTCAAGAAACAAGATGTAATTTTGGTGATGATATTGTTATGAAGCACTAAAGCTGGCTTTGGGCAGGAGCCCAGAATCAAGATCAGGCTGGGTTTTTGGAAATTTAAAATATTAAATTTATTGTTGAACTTTGAAGAACTGAGGAAAATGTGCATACAGAAAAAGTCGACTAAAAAATTAGGTGTTACTAACTGCATGTAAGCCTAAAGGTTCACAAGCTGTAAAGCCACTAAAAGAGGCAGTAAATAGCCACAAGCCCAGGACTGGTGATGTTAGGAGCTTTCCCTTACTTTGTCTTGAAACAGGAGCTAAATTATGTTACAGGTATCATGCAATTTGTTATTTATATAATGGCATCCTTTGTAGTTTTTTTGTTCTTGTCTAGCCACTTTCTCTCCATGCTGCCTTATCTTGTGCTTCAGTGGCCATATGTATTTCATTATAAGGCAAAATTGAATCGCAGATCCAAGTAAGAAGTGTTGCAAAAGTATTCCTACAATTTTTATAGATGTCTGGTGGTGGGAGAAGTCTGCCTTCATTCCCTCCTACCTGCCTCCATTCCCTCCAGGAGAACCCAGCAAGACCAACTGGGTCTCGGGCTTTCACCGTCGCTGGTCTCTAGAAAATTGTATATAATTGGATATATATACATATCTCCTCTCTGAGATATATATAGATATATATATATCTCCTCTCTGCTATTGGATATAATGCTGCAGTGCACCTAATATTAAGTAATTAATATAAAATCTGACATAGCAGAAAGGATCACTTAATTTTTGGCCATTTTCACCTCGCCCTTTTAACAGCTCTTCTCCGTCTCGATTGTTTTCATCTTGGAGTAACTGCTGAAGCCGCTGGGGATCACAGGATTCCAGACATACGTTACAGGTGTTGTAAAGATAGGGGAGAACAGGATGACTTTATAAAGAATTAGCCTAATTAAGAAAATGTCCAAGGGTCAAAAGTGTTGCAGACAAAGGCAGATGGACTGGCCTGCTCTGATTTGATTCTCCTATTTAATTCCCCGAGTCCCCGAGTCTCCAAGCCAGCTGGATTGGAACGAGTAGGAAAGCAGAATATTTTGTGTTTCTCAGCAGTGATTTATTTGTAGAGGTGAAACCAGGGAATTTCCCTCTGTGTGAAACTATCTGCTCCTTGGCTTCAAATGTTCAATAAGTTCTCTGCCAAGGAATGTTTGTCCTCTCGAGACAGATCAATGAGCATGTACAGATTATAAGTAACCTTTTGCTTTAGCTTGCCCTGTGCATAGTGACCCGCTGTTGACTCAGTGCCTTGGTTACTGGTCATTAGTGCAGCAGCCTCCCCCCTCCATTAATTTCACAAATCAATTTGTCTCCTGCGGCCAGGAGAGAAAGCTGTGGGGGAGGAAGAGGACTTCTAATGCGAGATGTATTGGCAAACCCTGTGGCTGAATAGAACATAATTTGGAAGGGCCTTCTGAAAAGCTGTTTGCACGGGGAAGCACTTGAAGACAAAATGTGATTGTGCAGATGTGTGTATATAGGAGAAAATTAGGATAAAGTGAAGGATCTTAGTTGTGACTGAAGCAGAGACATGTATGTGATGCAGCCTTTCTATCAGTAGTAATTATTTCATTCTTCATGGTGAATAATGGGCGTTTTAAATTTAACCCTGATTTTCAAAAGTGCGATCTCACATGGTATTGATTGCATTTGACTAATGAAAAGCTTTAGCTTTGTAAGTCTAGGCTGTGGAGCAGTGTACTTGGTGCTAGCTTGACTACTTAAATTTGGAGACTGTGGGAGCAATAGTACATACTGAAAAAACATGTTTGGCTCAGGGTAGTGGCTTGCTTTTTTGGTACTTCAGTGTTGCTATTTAAGATAGCCAGGGACTTGCTTGACAGAATAAGGGGGACGCGCATCTTCATTTAGAAAGAGAGGTGTCAATGGGAGTGGGGGGGTTGGTAGTCTTCAGATGGAGGAAGCCTTCTTGTGGCGTTGAAGAAACAGCGAGTATGAGGTGGTGGGACTGTGGAGAGCCCAAAAAGGAGACTGACTTGTTTTGTTTTCAATTTCATTTCTACTTTTAGTAAGTGGTCATTTGTTCATGTATTTCCAGTTGAAGATATATTTTGCTTCTTTAACAGGGCAAAAAGGACGTTTCCCAGATATTTAACAACATCTTGAGAAGACAAATTGGCACACGCAGCCCTACTGTGGAATACATTAGTGCTCATCCACATATCCTATTCATGCTTCTAAAAGGGTGGGTGCTTTAATTTGATTTTCATTAAAGAGCATTGCCTGGAACATGCTGGCATTGCAGTTGATCTACTTTCTCACTTTTAGTTTAAAAAAAAAAAAGGATTTTCAGATTTCATTCCAGATTTCTTATTTTGTTTCTTTCATATTGACTTTCTTTCTACTTAACTGTATACTTTTTAATGACTGGTTTATTTTATTTGGCCGTTATTTCTTCACCAAACTTCATGTTGGAATAATTATGTGCTGATTGTTTTTGACTGCTCCCCACGTGACATGTACTTCAGTTCTTGCCCTAAACTCTTGTGTAGCTTTGTTGATGACTGCTGAGTTTCATTTAGACTTTTTTGCATTGCAGGAGTGACTTGTAGTGGTGTCTGTAAATGACTGGAGTCAAATGCTGGACCACCATGTGGTAGAACAGAGAGAAGCAAAAATGCATAAAAAGAATAGTTGTGTCTGTTGGGCAGAATTCTTCAACGCTTGTAGCCACATATGAGCTTCATCTTTAAATTAGTTCAGTAATGAACTCCATGACTTTCAGCATTAAATCTTTTTTTTCTGTTTTGTCTTTTAACCTTTGAGGGAGTCAGTGCTCAGTTGTAACCCAGTGGTTCCCAAGGTAAGCTGGCCGAGGAGGGGGAGTAGACAGACTGCTGTGTGGAGAGGACATCAGCTGTAGTTGCATTCAAGTGTGCACAAGTGTTGGCCTAAAACCCTTGAGGTTTCTGTCCCCTTTACTTTTGGCCAAAAGCACCGTCTGTTCAGCAAGAAGCTTTGCTTTTCCAACCCTTGAAGTCTACTGTTTTCTGCTCAGTTCTCTGTGGTTTTCTAAACCACAGAAGCCAAAGAAGCCAAAACTTCAGGATTTTTTTTATTTTTCCCTAAGGAAAAGAGAATATATGTGATTGGGATTAAAGAACTGATGTAGAAATAAATGCATTTATTAACTGATCAGTATGAAACAACATGGACTCTCATAGTAGTTGTATGGTCACACTAGCAACAGCCATTCAAAAACATGACATAAGCCTTTTAAACTAATGGTTCTTAAGAGAATGAATTTTTTTAAATGTTTTTCTTGCTCTCCAGGCTTAAGATTTGCATTTTTACCATTTGCTCCACAGCCAGAGTTAGGAAAATACTTAAGCACCATCTAAGGTTTGTGCAAGACAAGGCTGCAGCCCCAAGGGTAAAATTCCCTTCAGCCTCCCCCCTCTCCCAGGGGCAGGCCCGAGCTAGGAGAGAGATAGGCACGGGAGTCCTCTAAAATAGTAATTATTTCCTTCAAAGTTGGCCACATTCCAGCACAGCTGAGCAGGGAAAAAAGTAACCGAGAGAACTAGTCAGTACCAGGGATTTCAAGAACTGTGAGCTTGCGTTTGAACGTGGTGGCAAAGCTCTTGGTTGCTGCAACAGGAGGAGGTGTGGACTCGCTGCCTTCCTCGCAGGCAGGGTGGTGGGGAGCCCGGGCAGGTGGCTGGGCTGAGCTAGGTCTTGCTCTTACAAGTATAGTGATTTGTCATGATTTAGCTTTAATTTTGAAATTCTTGACTTGTTTTGTGTTACTAAATGCCAGCTTCCTCAGAAAGGAAACCAGTAAGCTAGTTAAATGGATTTTGGTTTCATTTGTTCATTAAAATTCACCACTCGTATAAACCTCAAACTAGTTGTTTCAGGACAGTGATGATAATTCTCTCAGTTGTTGTTAAGTTGTACAACTGTTTTCAATTTCATATATAGATACAGTAATTTTCTTTCCTCTTCTCTGTCTTTGCTTTTGCCATCTCCTCACTTTTTCACTCATTTTGTTTTTGCACGTTGCACATGTATCGCTACCATATGTCTGGGCTTTATTTAAAGCTAAAAAATATTTTTGGATCGTGTCCCAGATATTCTTTGGCATCTGTAACGACCAAAAATATTAAAATGATAGTAAAGATTTTATGTTATGCATATGTACTGCTGACAGACATTTTACTGTAGGTGACCTGAGCCAGTGGATATATTTAACTGGCATCACTTAGGTGCTTTTTTGGAGATTGCTGCTGCGTGCAGCAGCGTGTCCGTGTTAGTTTGGTCCTCAGGCTCCTTGTTCTTGATTTCTTGGCTACCTCTCCACAGCACTGCCCTGTATCAGAATTGCCATTTCTGGAGTTTCTTGTTAGAAAGTGCTGTTGAATTCAGCAGCAGCAGTCCAGAAGACAAGTCCTATCCAGCCCTGATGGTGTCTGAGCAGCTGCTGCAGAAGAGCGTAATGTTGTCAAACGCAATGCTGTCTTACCTGCCTATGTCCTGCTGGCAGGACTGTCTAAAAACGATACTTAAAATATGTGCCTAAAGCAAGGGCAGGGCCCCGAACGCACGGCTTGCTGTGTGCAGGCAGAGTGCGGTACTTGTGTGCAATCAGCTGTGAGACTGGGAAGCACGCACTTCATGTTAGACACCACCACTTGAAAACGTGACTTGAAGATGAAGTTAAATGAAATATATGATAGCAAGATCTGCTTAAAGGAAAGTGGATTTGGCTGGCTTGTACCATTCAGTGTTCGTTATATGACTATTTGGAGAGGGGAAAAAAAAGATTCAACCATGACTGTAAAAGAAACAGCCTGGGACTATTGTGAAGGCTTGTCATTGTTTTACTTGTATTGGATGCAAAATTTCCCAACAGCATCAACAAAAGGTTGCTTTTTCATTGCATAATGTGAGCTCTGTTGAGTGGGAAGGATCCTGAATCAGAGCTCCCGCCCAGTGTTTCCTGCCTAATACTCCAGTGGCACTGCCAACTTGAGATAACTGTTCTTACCTTTTAGGCTTCGTTTTACTTGTTGGTTACTTCCTTCCAGCTTCTCAGCTTCAGAAAAACATACAGCACATAGTTCACTCCTATTTTTTTTCTTTTTTTTGTAGGTTAATTGACCTTCCTGCTGCATGAGGACTTGCTTTAATATCTTATTTTCTGTGTGTGCAGGCTTTGTGTATGAATAGGATTTCAGATGAATACAATGTTTAGTGTATATAGAGTACTGGATATATTTGGGCCAAGTTTTTCTCCGGTGTCAGCATATTGCATTAGCCCAGAAATAACTTTGGTCCTTTGTAATTTAAAATATTTTCCCTCTAGTACCATGACTGTAGAGGACTTGAAGTTTGTGGCACTTGCATTGTTTCTCACAAGTGACAAATTTATAAACTCCTTTGTGAATTTATATCATGCCACATGCTATCTAATGTACTCAGTCACTGCACCAATCTGTTTTGTGATGATCTCTTCATATTACAATGCAGTTAAAGCTTTAATGGTATATTGGCTAAAGTTGCAGAATTACCCTTGAGTTTATCCAAGGATAAACTCTTTATCCAATGATAAGCTCAAGCTATAGAAGTTAGTGTAAAATCAGATCAGAATATAGCTGTTTGTCAAGACCTTGTGTCTCTCAGGCTCAATGCCTTCCTAATCTCCTGCCTGTGCTCCTTACCTTGTACCGTCTTCTGCACTAGCCACACAAGTGTGATTCCCTTTGTGCTGAGATGCATCTCTGCTCTCAGTCTTGCCTCTTTCAGCCTCCACAATAAGTATTTTGAAATATTTCAAGTCCATTATTTCCTTTTCTGGTTGCCCCTGGTAGTCAGTATGTGGGAGTTTATTTAGGTTGTAAGTTCATCCGAACAGAGAAGAACTCTGTATTTTTTTTCTGCTGCAGGAGTACTTCAGCATAGAGCACTAATTGCTCATTAGAAGTGATTTTGAAGCACATCTCTGTCATTCCTGCCTGGTGGCTTTGCATGTAAGCGTGGGTGCAGAGAACATGCCAGTTATGACCAGGCAGCCTGTAAACTTCTTCCAGGCATATTCCAGGAGCCAAACCCAACTTCCCTCACTTATGTGAACAGCCAAAGGTCCATAACCCACTTCCAGATAATGGAGCATTTGACTAAGAATAATTCTGTTGATAGTTGTGTTTTAAAAAGTTATTGTGCTGGAAACAATGTAATTTGCTTTTATTCCAACCAAAATATTCCGTAGCCAACTATTAAATATTTTCCTGGCTGTGCTCCTAGGAGCAACTCCACCTCTCTTTGCTTGAAAATTAGTATTCCTGTTAATGGTGTTGAGGAGAGGTACGCCTTGACAGAAAACATCAGCGAATCTCTATTGTCTAAAGAGTTATAAATTCACGTTTGCAAATGTTTCCCAAAAGGAAACAAATAAGGGCTTGAGTGCCTGCATTTCCTTGAGGGTGGGAAGTTTCATTTGCCTGTTTGGAACAGCAATTCATTTTTCATTAAGCCAACTATTGTTGACATCAGGTTGAAGTATGCAGCTCTGGTATGCTCGCAAAACACGACCATTCTTTTAAATTGCAAGCTGGTGGTAAACTTGAGGGCCCACTCACTTACAGCACAGATGGCATTTTGTGTTTTTCTTTTTTTCTCTTTTGGCCTAGTGATAGGAATTAACTGTGCAAAGGAAAAATGATGCTGATAAGCTCTGGGTGATAATACACAGTTCTGATATAGTATAACCAGCTTATTGAAACAGAGCGTGTTTTCTGTCCCCTTGGACTTCACCGTTTTCACATGACTGAAGATTGCAGAAATAAGTTCATTTTAAGACCTTCCTGACTGTTGGATTTCATCCTTCTTTTTTTTTTTTAAATCGTGTTTCTAACAGTTTTGTTTCAGATTAATATCAGCTTTAAAGAAATCAAGACTTTATAGAAATAGAAGATCATCTGAAGTGCCTCCCCTTCCCTCCCTCTCCAAGATTGAGAAGTGTGCTGGCTCCTGGCTATTGCAATGCATGTGCCATAACAGGATTGTAACTTGAGAAACAAATACTTGTCTCCTGTACAAAGTAGTAGCCTCTGCAGAGGAGGGATTGAGCAGAATTCCTCCTAAACTGCAAAAAAGATCTTCAGAGCTACAGAAAGCTTAATCCTGCGTAGACTGCCTGGATAGGCTCTTCCTACCTTCCTCGTTAGACATTAATATTCTAGAGCAACGTTCTCTAGAAGATGAGTGGGAGGTGATGGGTGGTCATGAGGTGTTATTTTTTTCTTGGATAAACCGAGGAGCTCAGAATTAAATCTGAAAAGGGAGATTGTTATATTGTATGGGCTTTGGTTTCTCATAAATCTAAAAGGGTGAAGGAGCTCTGTTGAAATGTTACACACTCCCCACCGTCTTTCCGCAGAGAGGAGGTGTAATTACACCAAAATGTGTTTTGGCTTGCGAAGGCAGAGGTTTGCGATGGGAAACACTGGCAGCCTTACCTCTGCGTCTGCTCCTTAGCTTTGGGCTGAGGTTCTGAAGCTGGGTACGGTGCTCTGGGTGGGAGCTGCCGTCCATGTGTTGTGTTCCCTCTGGCACATGCATTTCCTATGCTACAAAGTTTCCCGTTGCTAGAAAAGTGCCCGTTTATCTTTTTTCTTCTACATTTAGATCTTTTCTGTTTCTTTTCATTCGTTAGATATGAATCCCCAAATATTGCCTTACGCTGTGGAATTATGCTGAGAGAGTGTATCCGGCATGAACCCTTGGCCAAAATCATACTTTTTTCGGAACAGTTCAGAGACTTTTTTAAATATGTGGAAATGTCAACATTTGATATAGCTTCTGATGCCTTTGCTACATTCAAGGTAAATTATTCGATACTTGCGTCACAGCGTTGTGTCAAAAATGGCACTCCGTCAGTAGTCATCACTGAATGTTGTGTTGCCTTTAAACTGGGTAGCTTTTTTATTGTTCAGTAAAGGATATAATTAATCCTTGGTCTGTTTGTAACAGGATTCACAACAGTGATTAAGTCTGCAAAGAATCTTTAATTCAATACAGATTTACATTTCACTAATGTTCTTCATCTTGATAACCCAAGGCCTTTTATGCAACCATTTAAAACTCAAATTAATCATGTATTACGTACAGTTCTTGTAAAATGCATAACCTTTTTCTCTCCCTACCTTCCCCTGGAGACAAAACCACTACCCATCATTACCACAACCAGTAAATAGAAGGAATCATTTAAAATTCACTTTTAAAATCCTCTAAGTTTTACTGACCCTTCTGAGTTCAGCGGTCAAATTCAGACTAATGCTGTGCGCCCTGATTACTTTACAACTTATTTGTATGCTTACTTTTGTGACCCATGGTTCAGTGTAAGGACCGTACTGCTACGAGCCAAGTAGGTGAAAGCACCGTGTAGACTCTGTATAGAGTTTCTGTGTTGTATTAAAAATGAAGTTGGGTGAAGCTTGCCAAATTTCTTGGAGTTTGTATGTGACCATCATCTTGCCTGCAAGGTGCTAGTATAGTCTTTGAGCAAAATTTGGTGCCTGTGAGCTTAATGTACAGGGAAGATTAATCTATTTCTGAAAAATAATTTAAGAAAGCTAGGGAAAATTCTTTTCAGGTAAAGACTCTTCTAAATATAGACATAACTCCTTTTTTTCTTCTATCACTGGGTTCCTTGCTGTCATAGAAACACGTTGTTCATTCTTTCCTCTCAAAGCTAATTAGAAACATGATTAGATAGACCTTAGGAATAACTGGAAGGAGTGTTGGAGTTCAGCTCAGTGATTCAATGCGTACTGAAACCCGGCCTCAGATTTTACTAACCTACTGAATAGGGTAAAGATTTGCATAATGGAGGTAACATTGCATTCGTCAGTAATGAGTTGAGCAGGATTACCAATTCAAACACCCATTAATCAGTAGCAGCATCTTTCAGTTATTTTAAGTTGCACTGTCATTGTGTTCGTTAGGTAAATGTTATGAAAGTGGAAGTAGCACAGAAATACAGACAAGTAAATATACATGTGTAAGACTGTATAAAAATGCAGCTGAGATCCTCTGTCTCTGGCATTTTACCCTATGCTTGGAAGAGTATTTGCCTCTGGTCAGAAAAAGTGCTCCTGGACTCTGTTCCCAGCTTGGCAGAAGAGATTTGCATCTTTTGCCCAGGTCCTGCTTTGAGCACAACAGCAGAACGTGTGGTTGGTGATGGACAGTCTTCACCCCATCCAGGAGGCAGGATGGGGACAAGAGTCAGTTAAGCTGTGGCAAGGACCGCAGACTGCTGCAACCCTCCCAGAAAAAGAGCGATTGATGTCGTTCACAGATCTACAGCTGTGGAACTTAACTTCTGTCCCCTGTGATCCGAGTGTATTTTTAGCAGGATTTAAAAATAGTATTCTGCATCCTCACGTGCACTGGAAAGAGAAGAGTATGAGGGCAGTTCATCCTCAGACATAGGTCAGAAATCACCTTTCAAAATGCTTGGGGAAAATCTATAAACTCCATTTTTTTAAATTGCCTCTTATTTTAAGTTGCCTGACTTGATACATGGTCAGTTCTGGAAATAAAGCAGCTGTTCATCTTATCTCCTATTTGTCTGTTACTCTGAATATCTGGAACAGCAAGAAGTGATGTAGAAGCAACTGAATCATGAAATATGGAGCTACCTCGTTTCTAATGCCGTAAAAATAAGTGCTATGATTGCCCGCTGGCTGGATTACTGAACTCGTGTTTTCAGTTCTCTTTCCCCCATGTTGGGTTTGTAGTGTTGCCACCAGGGTGTCTGGTTCAGAGCTGAAAGCCTTGGATAGTCTATGCACCAAAGGAGGGCTTAATTAAATGTGCATTAAAGTCTGAGGATATTTATAGTAGGGAAGTATTGGAATTTTTGATGATCTGGAGATGTACTTCTTAATTAAATTCAGCCAGGTGCACTGCAGAGAGGAAACAGAGCTGCTAAAAATGCAGAGGAAAGCAGCCTGTATTTAGAGATACAGTCGGCTGTGGAGGGTACCAGCAGCAGCTGGAAAGAGTGCTGATTGAATATCGCTGCTCCACACTCTCTCATGATTTTGTATGAAAAACTCATTTTGGATTATATTCCATTTGTGCCCCCTATTGAAAAATGTTGTACTTGCCTCCTAAGTGCCCTGCATAAAAGCTTGTGAAGCACGTTTGTTGCACGCAGCCCTTTAAACTGCTATCATCGCAGTCCTGCTAAATAAAGGAATGTATTAAAAACATGTACTGGATTTTATTGCACTCTGCTTTCCTCTTATAATTGATGGCAAAAATAAATTAAAGGATTAGTATGTAAAGGACTTCTTTTATTTGTAACGCTGTAGAGGATGTGTCTGTGTATCTGCTTCAGCTACTCATTAGCATCAGTCTCTGACTGTGGGTGAGGAAACCAAGGAAAAGGTGATGAAAAAGATAGCAACTGATTCACTGAAAAAATATCGACTTGAATGGACTTCATCAGGCATTTATTGTGATCGGTGCTATGTTTTACAGGAGGCAATAGGATAAAAATTAAACTTAAATGCCTCAAACCAGCCACTTCATTTCATAGATATTCAACCAGTAAAGAGACTTGATTTCTTCTGGAGCTGAACATTTGCATCTCTGCCGCTGAGCACCAGGTTCCCATTCTGTGGGAGGGGTTGCTTTAATTTAAATTTGAATTAGTTGGCCTTTTAGGATCGAATGCCTCCCACAAAGCTTCAGCTGGCTTAAAGGTCTGCTACTGCTTGTGTCAGTAAGCCCACCTTGGGCAGAAAACCAGCCACAGAAGAAATTCATCCCACCTACCTGAGACCCCTTTCTGGGGATGGAGTGGCTGTGGAGGGAGCCTGGATGGCTAGGTTAGATTGGTGCCTAACTTTTAGGTTTTAAATAAATAAACATATCCAGTGGTTGAATTGAGTCTGCCTTGTTGTATTCATTGGAGATGAGCAATAGCAATTGATCAAACTTAGCATAATTTTCCAGCTCTGGGGTAGCATGTAGATCACTTTTGGCTTTGGGACCATAGCTGCTCCCTCCATAAAGGGTTAATTTACTTTATTCCTTTCCCTCACCCCAGTTTATTGTAAGTACTGTGCAGGATGACCTTAAGAAAAGGTGGGAGTGAAAAAGAATATAAAGAGCGAGTGTTAGAATAGTTTTATATTGATTCTGTGAGCATTCACTGAATTCTCCTTAAAATCCTAATAAATGCACAATGCAGTATTGTTTTTAAACGCTTTCTGTCTATAGAAATAATGTTGTAAATACCTTCTAAAAGATGACCTGGTAAAAAATGCTAAAATACATTTGAGAATCAGGGGGCAATCAAATGAGCACGCTCTCTTAGGTAACCTTTCTCTGTTCTTCCCCAGGACCTGTTAACACGACATAAATTGTTGGTAGCAGAATTTCTGGAACAAAATTATGATGCGGTAAGTGTAAATGATAGAACAATTTTTTAAAAATCTGTTCATGCTTAGCTGGAAAAAATGTGCTTTCAATAGTGGAGGGTTTCATGTTCCACATAAAATAGGCACATAGGACTGCAAAACTAAACATTGCTTTTACTAAAGCAGAATCCTTGCATGGTGTTTGAAATACAATGTTGTGGTGTAACCCCAGCCAGCAACTGAGCACCACACAGCCGCTCACTCACTTACCCCCAGTGGGAAGGGAGAGAGAATCAGAAGAGTAAAAATGAGAAAACTCGTGGGTTGAGATAAAGACAGTTTAATAGGTAAGGCAAAAGCCATGCACGCAAGCAAAGCAAAACAAGGAATTCATTCACTCCTTCCCATGGGCCAGCAGGTGTTCAGCCATCTCCAGGAAAGCAGGGCTCCATCACGTGGAACGGTTACTTGGGAAGACAAATGCCATCACTCCAAACGTCCCCCCCCTTCCTTGTTCTTCCCCCAGATTTATATGCTGAGCATGATGTCATATGGTCTGGAATATCCCTTTGGTCAGTTGGGGTCAGCTGTCCCAGCCGTGTCCCCTCCCAGCTTCTTGCGCACCCCCAGCCTACTCGCTGGTGGGGTGGTGTGAGGAGCAGAAAAGGCCTTGACTCTGTGTAAGCACTGCTCAGCAGTAA